CCATTTAAGCCGTCTCCAGCCATTATTGTTTATTAATGTTATTTTCATAATTGAGAAAAACAATTAGCCTTTATAAAATAGTTACGAAAGTAATACTCAGTTTACAATGTATTAAAGTTACAATTTATAAAGGTATTAGCAAACAATTTAACAATATATATTAGTCTATGGTAGTTTATGGTACTGTTGTGCTTGTAGGCACCCAGCACATTGACTTTCATTATCTATCACTCATTTTCTATTTTGAAGGAAAATTACTTCCAGATGGCGATATCAGATGGAAACATGTCCACGTAGGTTCGTGTTCGTAGTTTTCCTTTAGAATTATTAGAAGTAGAATAGATTTTAAAGAATAAATCAACTTTTTCTACAGGTACGTGTTCTTCACCATTGAATTTGAAGGTTTTGTTTCACTTAATGTTTCGATTTCTATTTGTTTGTAATTTGTAACTATCATTGTCTGTGTCATTTGTATTTAGTTTTAATTTAACTTTTAAGTTACTTTAATTTAGACGAATTTATTTAGTTTAAATTAAACAGAACTAGAAGTAGTATGCTTATTTAGTTCTTAGTTCTGTAGTACTATTAGTAAAGTACTTAATTTTATTATTTACTATAATTTATATACATACTTGGTAAATGTATATTATAACTACTACTAGTAGTAGTAGTTATAATAAGTTGGCTCGCTACCTACATCTTTCTATGGCTGTTAGTATTAAATTTAAAATAAAAATTGGCTTAATGATTCACTTCTGTCAAAACAATAATTAAAACTTAATTTGAATTGAAAGACTCTCAATGTCTCATGATGAATTAGCAATGCAGGAATTCCAGTTTTTGTAATTTGAAAATGCCATGGCAAAAATTAAATATGTAAAAATTTAATGCTACAGTAACATAAAGTAGATAAATTGTAATACAGATCTTAAGGTACCAAAGCATGTAGCAGTTTGAATGGTTAGTTATCAGAAAATACTTCCATTTACAAAATTTTTATTACAAATTGGATGTGATTGTGATCTTTATGAAAAGTCATAAAATAGTAAAGCAGAGAATGATTTAAAATGACGATTAAAATACAATATTTTTATTTTAATACCCATACAAACGCATAGATTAGGTAGCAGGCCAACTTACCATAACTACTATTTCTGGTTCTAGTAAAGATGTACAATTTGCTGGTGATATTAATAGTACTATGGACAAAAATATCAAAATTATACTTTATACTATGATTCTTAGTTCTGTAGTGCTACTAATATTACTAATAGTAGAGTACTTAATTTTATTCTCTATTGTGAAATATAAATATTTTGATTTCTTAGAAGGTTTTAAAACCTAAACAAAATTACACCCTCAGTAAAACAATAAGAATGACATTTACTTTGTAAACCATATTTAACCTTCATAACATTTAACTTTTAAAGATAACAGGGGTCTTGTTGGTCCATCTAGACTGTAGTCTTGCTAAACTATTTGTACATAAAATCTCAAAGCCAGCTATTATCATTCAAATACTAATCAAACCTTCCATTAAACCCTAGTAATTTACTGTTTCCACCATATCTGAAGGTAATCCATTCCAAATGCCAACTATCCTGTTAGAAAAATAAAAGCTTCTTAGCCCAAGTTGACCTATTCTGTTAAAATTTATATTTGTGTCATCTAGATCTACTATTCTCACCATTAAGTATGAAAAAAGATGATGCATTGACACTATCAATTCCCTTAACAGACTTATACATATCAGTTAGATCCACTTTTACTCTTCTGTTCTCAAGAGAAAACAATTTCAGAGATTTTAACATGTCCTTGTGTGACAACTGTTTCATTCTAGGTGTCATCTTAGTAGCCATTCTCCGAACCCCTTCCAACAATTCAATGTTCTTCCTAAGGTGAGAAGCCCAAGACTAAACACAATACTCCAAATGTATACTAACAAGTGATTCATACAGTGACATATTTTTTGAAGAAAGTTATCTTTTGATTGTTAATACAAAATTACTACATATAAAAATATTAATTAGATCATTAAATAGATTTAAATTATGGATGAGCTGAATTGCAAGTAAAGTCAAAGTACTCACATTAAGCCTAATCTAATGTTAGTAATACACTACCAAGTCTTAATTTAAAAGTTTAATCCTATTACTTACCAATAATTATACTTGCTGTGCCCATTTTATTCTTATAGGTTGTTATTGTTTTCCTTTTACTTCAAGTTTCTTCAATTCTGGGGATTTGGGGTTGAGGGCTTATGATTTGAGTGTATTGGTTTCATTCCCATTGGCCATTAACTTTTTTCTTTTTCTTCAACTGTTGACTAGAGTCTACTGGCTCTCACACCTCCTTTTTATTATTTTTTTCTTTGTATTTACCAAGGTTTGAGAAACACTGTACTAAACAACAGTGTTGTATAAATTGATTAGTGAATATCACTAATCACTGAACTCTACTGAGTTAATTGTCCAGCTCTAAACACTGAAGTGTTTGAAGCATTGTATATATTTAGTTTTTAAAAGTCTGTATGACTTTGTTTGTTTCCCTAATTTGCACAACTATTTAGTAGAGAAAGCAGCAGGTGTGTTAGCTAAAATTAGTAAGTTGATAATTTAATTCTTTGTTAACTCTCAAACACCCTAGTGTATTGATTTGATGCACCATTTGTATGGTTTGTTTTATTACACTAAATAATATACTGGATGGAATTATTTAAAACTCGAGGAGATGAACTTTCTAGAGATTCTTTTGCTTCTGCAGAATAAAATGTTATTTTTGTATGTTATATATGTATAAATTCAGCATGTCTTTAAAAAGGCAGAAATTTTGTTGTGGTTTGTTTTTAATAAACAACTAAAATTGCTTGCCTTTGTTGTAGGTTTCAATTCTTTCTACATTCTTGTAAATCTTTCCAGTTAAGTTTTTATTCTAACTAAATTTTATCTTTGTTTTGAGTTGAAAAACACTACACTGAGTTTCACTGTATTTATGATAACTAACATACAATAGAAATAAGTTTTTACCACACCAAATTTATTAGCAAGCCAATTTTCTTAAACTTATTAATCAGAAGGTTTAACTTAATATATGTAATGAGTTTAAACCCATTTCATATACATTTATATGTTTTGTTTTTAATTTGTCTTTGAAGATTTTTTTTGCCCATTCAAGTAGTTACTTAGGCTGAAAAGGCTTAATGTAAGCATGGCTTAACAATCAACTGTGTTATAATGAAGTATAAAATGAAAATATATTAAGACTACTTGTGGAGAAAGTTGTTCATAAGCATCTTTTCTTCTGGTAATGTACACCAAGCTTTTTTCACTTTGTTTTGGTCTCTGTGTTAATATTTGCTTAACTGGAGACCATATTGGCTTATACAATTTAAAAGAACAGATAACAGAAGTTTCATTGTGTGTTCAGACCACTAGCCTGTGAGATATAAACAGTCATGCCACACCATGACAACCAAGGTTGAGAAACATTGATTGCCATATATCAATAAAACTATAGTAAATTGAAGTTATGAGATCCAACTTGGCACTGTTTTGTTCATCACTATTTCATCTTTCCTCTTATGGGGTTATGAGTGCCTTTAATATGTTCAGACAGAATTCAGAAAATTCAGAAACAGTATTTTTTTTCATTTGCAGCATGCTGAAATAAACCCCAAATCAAAATTTGTGATCTAAAAATTGTTTATATATAAAATTAAATAAATAACATTTTTTTTATTAAATATATCTAAACTCTGAAGATTATTTTTAATGTATGTAAGAACAACTATAAGTTTATTTTTTGTAATTACTGCAGTTCAATGGTGCAATTTTTCTTTCAGTGCAGGATGCACCCATTTGGACAACATAGAGTTAATACTATGATAGTAATTTCAGTGAGATGTACAAGATTGTAAAATTCCTTGCCTTAAGAAAGTTGCATAATGATCTGGTGTATGCTGTTTGTTTTGATTATTTTTCACTATGAGTATGTAGATATGAAGGACTATATTTATTTTGGTTTTGATTGGCAGTTGTGGGTCCATTGGTCTTGTGTCACTTTGATTTGTGTTTCTAATTTGTATAGGTCAAGGAATACTTTAACTACTGAGTTAGGGAATTGAGAAATTTTAGTCAGCACTGAAGGAATTTTTTACCACCAGTTGGGGAAATTTCAGTATGGAAGAATGTCAGTGCAAAGTTTTTTGCATAATATGCATGGCTAGAACAGTTTTTCTTAATTCATTTCAAATTTGTTCACATACTAAATTATACAATATGTTCTAAATAAGTAATAAATTTTAATTACAATCAATCTAGTATATGAAAATGAGACAAAAAATAAAAGAGAATGCTTATACAAAGTGTATCCCCTCTAATTGGAATAAAGTATTGATAATTAAAAAATAAACATGTATATATTTATATAAACACACAAGTTACAACATGTAATATATTTGATACCACTAACTGTCAATAGTATTATAATTTTTTTAACTAACTGTACAAATAACTAAGTAAGTTATAAATTTAATAAATAGTTCTTGAAACAAACCTTAAATTTTTTTTCTTTTATTATTCAATTTTACATTCCAGATTTTTACCCCTACATAAGTTATTGAACATTGGCCTATTAACTTTTGAAAAAAAGGTTTGAAGACTGGGTTTATTAATTAATTAATTTTTCATCATAAACATGCAATTTCTTACTAAATAATTATTTATTTCATAAATATTTAATTTCATGTAGTTATGAAATAACTGATACACAGAATCCTAATAGTTTAAATTCAAATTTACTCTCATAAAGTTTTTGTGGAAGCAACAAAGGATTTATATTATATTCTAATGAATCTCTCCAACAAGTATATATGCATAGATTAATTGTGAATAAATAAAACTATGGCATAAAGTTATCAAACATTTCCTACTAATTGTTTTACTTTTTTTATACTTATATGTATTTTGCAACTATTTTTTTAACAGTTCTTATATGCTCAGACCAATTTATCTTCAATTATAATTCCCAAAACTCTGCTGAAGAACATCTTTCAAGCAATACTCCATTCATATGTATATTTACTTCCTTACTATTAGTATTCTAATTTTTATCTGTAGTATAAATTCCAATACAATATCTTACCTCCTCTCAGAAAAAGCTTTCTTGCCTTGTACTGACCTCTGTTGGCACAAATATTTTGCTTGGAACAAGCTTTGTTACTCCCACTTATTGCTGCATACTAATATGCAAATGATCATGCACATGTTAATCATTTCTCGATTGGCAGTCCTACTGATTAGACATATTTTTCACTCCTGGTTTTATTAACCTATCCACACATTTTTACTTTCGTGCATTTTTCCTTGAGTTAAT